GCTTGCAGATTACCAGAGTGTGTGTGCGTGTCTGTGTCTGTGTATGAGTGTGAATGTGTCCACATGCACCCCGACAAAGTCATCACTAAAGTCACAGCACAGGTTGGCTGATGCCTGTGGTGAGTGTTACAGAGCTGAGTGTATTAGCTGGAATTTACTCTGTCCATTTCCTGTACGAGCCCTGTTACAATAAACACAGGACATGTCGGGTACAGCTACCAGGAAGATGGGCTGGAATGTTTCCCAGATTCAGATTAAGTCCTGAACTCTGAAATTACAGGCTTTACAGCTGAGGATTAATCTGTCGTCTGGCAAGTCAACTAAAATTCAGTTATCCAGCAAACAGAGCAAAGAAAAAGAGGGGATTGGGTGGGAGTTACAGAGGGGAAGTGCCAAACTGCAAAAGGGGATTTGGATGAGGAAGGCCTTTACAAACTCACCTGGTCTTTTCTCCATTTTTCTCCCTCGACTGCCACATAATCGAACTTTTGATATTAATATGAGGATTTGCTTCTGGCAAAGTGACTTGTTGCTCTTCGGGCAGGGCTTTCGCTTGCTGGCGATCTGCCGGTTTGCCTGGGGGTCCTTGACCTCCCTGCGCTGGCGGATGAGGGAACTGGCAAGAGCGGCCATCTTCCCAGTGCTGACCCAGCTGCCCCCTCACCAGCCTCTGGCGGCTCGGTGGCACCCAGGTGTCGGGGGGTACCGTGGGCCACCCCCCTGCCCACTCACCCAGGGCGACGGAGCACCACTGAGGGAGGGGTGCAGAGCGGAGGAGGGGGCTTCCTAGGACGAATCAACTGGGAGGGAGCAGAAAAAGAAGGAGAGGAAGGGAGGAAGAGTTGGAGGTGGAGGAAAGAGAAGGGTGGATCCTTTAAAAGCCCTCCCAAGTCTGACAACCACTGCTCACGGAGGTTTGGATGAGTGGTCGTTTGCCTTTATATGTCCTTCTGGGATTTGTGCGTTGTGGTTGGGAGACCGATTCAAGTAAAGCTTTCACACGTCACTCTACCTCTGCCAGGACGAGTCATGTTGTTATCCACCCAAATTCCAGTGCAGTGTAGCCGCTATCCCTCTGACACCTCTGTCCCAGTCTAAGAGTACTCCAAGCACAAATGAAGTTTGTCTCAAAACGGGACTCGTCGCATTATAAAACCAGAACCATTAAAAAAAACGATGAAATTTAGTCCTCTTCACCCGCTCAGTCCCAAAAAAAAGAAGCCTGATGCTGTTCACTGGGACAAAAAAAGGGGTCCACACATTAACTCTCCAAAATGACAGGAGTATCACTGTTGGGACAGCCTGTGACTCCCGTCCTTTCTTTGCCTTCACCTGTAAAAATTCTCCACCTCAAACACAGTCAGAGCAAGAGAAGTAGAGGAAGAAGTAGTGACTGTCCGACCTGAGGTATCAGCTCTGCAAGCTGATGAAGAGATGCGGCTTCTGCTGAACGGAGCGCGGCTTGTTTCCTCGGCATCTTTCAGGCTCCCCTGGCATCCCCGTCGCGTTCACCCGCGCCCTGAGAGAAGACAGGGAAAAAGACGGAGACTTGACAAATCCAGCATTTCCCAGAGATAGAGGTGACATTCATGAACGAGAGAGCGCGGGGACAGAGAGACAGACAGCGACACAGAGGGGGAGAGAGAGAGAGAGAGGGAGGGAAAGAGAGAGAGGGAGGGAGTGCAGTGAGTCTATCTATCCCTCCTGTCGGATCGGGCTCTCCAACTCTAACAGCAGCGCACTACACCACAGCAGAGCGGAGCGCTGTGTCCTTCAGAAACTCATGCCACTTCACAGCGGGGGGGAAGAGAGATGAATGAATAGAGGGAGACAGAGAGAGACGGTGGGAGGGAGAGGTGATGAGGAGAAGGGAGTGACAGAGGAAGGGGGGTGTGTGCAAGCAGGTAGCTCTGCCTTACGGTGGGTGCTGTGTTGCCGGTGCGCGTGCAAAAGTGTCTACTGGTGGGTGACAGCAGTGTGGTGTGGTTCTGCCGAGTCCACCTGCACAGTCCGTGTGAGAGGAAAGTCTGTGTGTATAAGGCTTCTCTCAGCCCGATTGCACACGTGCAAGGGAGTGAATGTGGGAGATGGGTGTGTGTGCATGTGTATATACTGTGAAGGTGTACGGGTGCGAGGGTGTGTGACACAGACGACCAGCATGTCGTGTAAATGTGAGAGTGCATGTGTGACTCGCTTTCCGGCATGTTCCCGTTCACAGTGCATTCACCGAGCGTGTGCTGGCAGCGTGCTTCACATGCTCACTCCCTCCCTCCTCTCGCTCTGTCTGTCTCTCGCTCTCTC